AAATAGTTGCTTAGTTAGTTAAAAGACAAGAAACAAACATTAAACACACCATCTGTAAACTATAAGCTCTTTAAAGCTGATTCATACGGACTTAAATCCATAGGGTAGAACGTGTATTTTATGACAAATGATTAAAAAAGTAATTCAAAACAGTTTATGTCAACCGCCTTTAAGATGCATCATCCCCATGTTGAAAAAGGATGTTTGTAAAGTAAATATTAAGTACGTTGTATTCGGTATTTGAGTTGTCTGAATATTTGTAACAAGAACAAGTAACAAACCGTTAAGGCTTACAACTTACAATATTTTGTTAAACATTACTGTAAGCTTATTGACAAACACAGCCCGACATAAAAGATACTGTAATCTGCAGTGAAATAGTGTTCACAAAAGATAGAATCAAAAGTAACGTAGTAGCTACAGCAATAATAAATTAGTTCTTATGAATTATGGAAGGATATAAATTTTACATCATTAACTTCACGGCGCATTTCTTTTATTCAAAATTGAATCGCTTCTTTGCTACGAGGCAGAGAAAAAGTGGAGAGTGGTTCTGAAATGTAAATTAGGATACTTTATGAGGTTCTTGACGGAGCTCCTATCAATCGCAGACCTTTGATTCCGAGGACGATTTGAATAATACGCTCCAGAATCTAGACGATAATACCAAGCAAGAGTAGGCCTTCTCCACTTCTTGGAAGGGTATGTAGCCTATGTGGTAGATACGATCTATGTAATCTACGAGTTTATTTCTGTTCATCGCTAACGTTGCGTTACATTTCATTTTTCACGTTTTACATTTTAGAGAAGCCAAAAAGATATCTGAGTTTGCTAGTGTGTCCATCTGACTATCTACAACCATTGACTATATATACCTATACCTGTAGGTATAACATTGTGAGTCGGTGGCTCAGTCGATAGCGTCGCGGACTTCGGGCCCAAGGCAGCGATGTCGTGGGCTCGGAACCTGGTCACTGCCACTAAAATTTATCAGTACAGTTCACCTTTGTACTGTACCGGCTCACTCCTTGCTTTGCTGTAAACGATCCACGCACAGGCGCTTAGTCTATGTGGACGGGCAAATGCAAGGTTAAAAGAGGCCACCAACCTCTTAAAAAAAAAAATATATATATATAGTCAATGCCACAACGTACAAGAATTCTTATTTAATCACGTTTTACGAGAAACCGAGAAACGGTTATTAATTATTTGTATCTATACTCTCCAAACGGGTTCTGGGTTCTTAAAACTGGCCTTTTCCTTTGGGATTCAACAAAACATATTCAAAACGTCATTTGTGTGATTTTGAGTACTGTGCCATACACGGGAAAACACGACATGTTTTTAGAATACTGCCACTCATCCTACACTTATCTCCATTCATATTTGGCTTGAAATACCTACATTTGTATGGTCGCCATTTCAAATAAAAGTATTAAAGTAAATTATTAAGTACATTTTTCATAATAAATTAATTATGATAGCTCCACGTCTTGCGTGTTTAAAACTTTCAATATTTATGTTGTGGGAAAACATTTTTACCTACGACCGTTTTTTAAAGTAGCCATTTCAGTTCAGTTCTTAGAAGTGAAAAGTTTCACTTAACAGCTGTTTACTTTCATAACAGCATAGTTTTTCTCATAACAACACGGGTAACGGACCAATGAGGTTCAAGGATTGAGAGAAAAGAAGTAAAATTGTAATGCCTCGAACGTCAACTAATCAGCTGATCAGCTGATCAGTTGACAATTTTAATTGTTGATCCGACTTGTTCCTGTTGATACTCGCATATTCTTAACCTATGTTGGTGAAAGTTAAAGGAAGTTAGATTAAACTGATTTAAAAATGTCAGTTAGTGAAAGTGAAGTTGACGAGATGGAAATGAGAGAAAAACATGTTTGTGCTAACCTTTTGCCACCAAAATCAAAACAAAGGTATGAAATTACATACCAGCAATTAACTGTTTCGCTATATTATTCAGTTGTCAAAAGAAATATGCAATATTTCCGTAATTGTACCATTTATACAGCATTTATGGTAAGAATGCTACTAGTAGAACCTATTCCCTAAAAAAGTAACGTATTATTTAACGAAGTTTTACAAACACGTAATTACATGAAATCAGCTGATTATACAATATTTCGTTGCATCACTTTCAGTGGCAATGACAATAAACAAAAACATAACCTCTCTCAGAAGTTATGAGTGGTGATTGTTAGTAATTAAAAACCAGATTTTTAGTAATTAAAAAACGGTCGTAGGTAAAGTAGTGTACGCAACTCGCGTTAATAATCTTTACGACACTCGTAGAAGTTTTTAAGGCACTTGCCAAGGCTCGTGCCTTAAATTTTCTACTTGTGTCTTAAAGACTCACTTAACGCAATCGTTGCGTAAACTACTATTTCCTGACGTGAGATGTTAAAAGCTACCTAATGAATATAAAGGGTTATAGTGCTCGCATTCAAATGTGAAGGTTCGATTCCAAAGGGAGATCGTTTCCTGACCCAGATGCTATTTGTCATTGAGATGGTGCTATCTAACAAAAAGGTAGACGTTATGTCGTTAACGTAATAGTAGTGGTATTGGACCGTTCCTTTTCAAAACGTAAGAATGCCATTGCTATAGAAAACACACAACATAAATAATAATAAAAACCTAGAAAAAAAAAGAAACCAGTAACTGCAATACACACCGTGTCCCAAAAAAAACTGAACAATTTTAAATTGTTATATTAATACGTCCAGGCATACCTAGTCTACTTTGAAGGTGATCATATGATAACTGAGCTCATGAAGTTTTGTTCAATATCAATTGTAACTATCAGTTGATTCATTGTTGTCGCTTGAAACTTGAAATTTAAAAACATTACCCTGTCATTAAGCAGGCACCATGAACGCACGAGAGAAAGCGCAATGCGTTGAGTGGTACATTCAAAGTAAGTCAGATATTGCAGTGCAAAGAACATTTATAAGATGCTATGGTCGACGTCCTCCATCACGAAACATCATTCGAGCCTGGTATGACAAATTTATGTTAACTGGAAGCTTACAACATTTAAAAGGTAAAGGTAGGCCGAAAATCCAAAATGAATTGATTGAAAACGTGCAACAATTATTTCTTCACGACCCTCAAAAGTCTGTTCGCTGTGCAGCATGTGAGTTAAATTTGTCAAAATTATAAGTTTATAAGACAGAAGTTTCCGATGTCCGAGAATTGAGGCAAAGCATAAATGCAGCCTTTACTAACATTACTGACTAAATGCGCCATAGAGTGTGGGCTGAATTGGACAGCCGTATTGACTATCTTTTTGCCAACAATGGCAACCATGTTGAAAATCATTAACACATATGATATCAAACAAAACTTAGGAATATTTGTGTCAGTTAAAATGTAATTAGTTTATCGTGTGATTGTTAATAAACTTTTTATAAGTAAATAAAATTGTTCAGTTTTTTTGGGACACGGTGTATAACTATAGTTGTGTCAGTGGGTTACCTGTTGCCAAAATCGAGATTTGATTATTTTTGCCAAGCTAATTAAATGTTATAGAAACTTAAAGGTATTTAATCTTTACTTATCTGGGACAGCCTACACCTTAACTAGGGCTCTTTCTGGGACGCTGCGTATGCGGGAGTATCGTACCCAGTGGTGACCATATCATTACCAGACTATTGTATAGCTTTCAGATAAATGTCTGCTTATATATTTGTCTATAAAACCATATGCTTGATTGCCTATATCAACTTAGTTTTTATTCTTTGTTGTGACCTACTTGCCTACATCCTAAAACAATTCTTTGAAACAAAACCTGTAAATGTGCCCAGCTTAAAAATCCGAATATTGTAATGATGTCTATACTGGAATCAGTCGTAATTTATCTTTAGGATATTTTAGTGATCCCGACTAATGAAACTACTGAACTTAGTAACAAAGCTGCACAGATCATCTCAGATCATACTACACTCATCCTTCACTCATATTTAGGTTAAAATACGCACCTAGTTGACGTCCTCATCACATAATAATAATAACTAGGTGAAACCCGTCGAAATCGACGGTTACTTTCAAGCCTTACACCAATTCATCTAACTGCAATAAATTGAGTAAAATTATACATATTTTGAGCATTTATAGCATTGTTTAATCCATAGTTGTTGCTGCCAACTTCAAATGATGACGATCTTAATAAATAAATAAATACAAAACATGCCCAATTATTCGTTGGAACTTATTGGTTGTCTGGCGAAACTCTAGGTTTTGTCATTTGATTTGTTTGGTCGATTAAAATACTTGGGCGGAAAGAAATTGTCAAATTTTTATAGTAGGAAGTTGAAAACCTGAATTTTTAATACACATACTACACACATGAATAGTTATTCAGGTATTTTTCAATTGCATTACCCCATTGGGCTCATGGAAGAGATCACGTCCGTACAGTTGAAAATCTGAAGTTAAAGAGTACACCGTGCGGGACCACACTGCATAATATCATAGATTATACTCCCTTAGGGAGTATGTTTAATCTATGATAATATGTACTGGTTTACTTTCCGTCACTCTGTTCGGTAATCAAAGTATAGTAGAGTAACGTACTGGTATAAGTGACGTTTCTAGCCAGTGGTGACTGCATTGCAGGTGGTCTGGAACCCCATGACGCTGACGCTGCCACAGAGGTACCGTGTAAAATTAATATAAATACCACGCTCTTTCACCATTTTAAAATTTTCAATTGATATCAAAGACAATTTAAAACAGTTCGACTAGTTTACTAGTTGTAACTTTGCAGCTTAGTGAATCTAATTAAATTAGAACGTTCGCCGACAAAACAACTATTGTCATTAACACAAAGGGAACTTTGGTTCTGGTTATGATATGAACAAACTGTTATTATGATAAAAACAACGGGACTGTGAGGACGAAACAGAATAGGATTGAAAGTTAAGTGGGGCCGGGGGGTGCGCATGAGCGGCAGACGCTGTACAGAAGGCAGTGGCAGTGTCAGACTTCCCGCCATCGCGGTAGGAAGTGACCAATCAGCTGATTGGTAATATTACTGTGCTGTGCTTTCATTTCTACCATCGCTGTCACATCTGGATAACACCGGTAGGCAATTCGTCTTTCTCTCATACTAAACGTCCAGTAATCACCCTCTCTCTCATTTGACAACATCATGTCATTGTTGCATGTCTTGTTGTATCACCATGTTTCAATGTTGTCAGTAAAATCTCATTCATAACTGTAAATTATATCGATATGTAAAATTTTACGATTTATATACAATTTTCACAATGACAGTCGGACAGAGTTTTGGCAATAACAGTAAACATTGTGGGTGTTAAAATCAAATTCGCGGGTGTAACAAGGAAGTTGTAAATCGCCTCATTAAAGAATAATGAAAACATATTACTCTCCTGCTCCTCACTATTCTCTGCAGAGCCCCACTTCCACCATCTCCCCCTTTTCCTCCAAGTTCCTTCATCCGAGTACATCGTTTAATATTTACAATGTACTTGTGTCTTTACATGCATTTTATACAGTGTTTCCGAGTAGTTTTGCAAACATAAAAGTATCTATTGAAAAATTATAATTTTTTAAACTGTGGAACACCAAACTGTTTGACGTACGTAATTTAGAGCCATTTTAGTGTGAATAATGCGGCAAGGTAAACAAATTGAATTTTGTCTCAATATTACAAATAATAATTAGTTGTTTTTATCACCAAGAGTTGTAAAAATAAATTTAGCTCTAAGTATTAACTTTATGTAGATTTTCGTCAAACAAAACCAAGTTTTTTTCCGTCAACCAAAAGTTAATAATACGATTTGGACACTCTATTTTATTTATTATTGGGCTAGTAATTGATGATAATATTAATCATATTGTTTGACGTTATATGTTAGAAATACTTTACCGTTGTCTTACAAGAAAACATAACAAAATGTATCTACGGCGTAAAATTCACAAAATATATAAATAAACAAATAAATAAAATGACTTTAAAGGCTGAATGTTTATTTAGTAGCCTAAGTCCAATTATTCCTCTATAAGTGTGAAAAAGACTAATAATCCTACATAAAAGCACAATGATGTAGGTAATTGAATATTTCACGACATGAATATTTCATAAATCTCGCATTCACAATAGGACGAGGCCCACCAGAAACAAGTTGAACGTTTTAGCGATATTGAGCATTCCGCTGAATCTTTTATTGCTTAGGAATTTATTAGATGACATTGAGCACGACAGCGGCAGTGGGGTGGTGGTGTTTGTGGGTGGAGGAGGGAGTACATCGGTCACACTCTTGAGAAGTATTCAAATATTTAGGGCGGAACATTGACACTCTGCCCTAATTTACAGCTGGTCTTGTGACCGACTCCGAGGGTTGGAAACTTTTGGTTTTAGACGGGGTTTATCAGTGAGGAAACTAGGTTTATTTGCATATTCTGTTACAGCAATTCATACATTTCCCGATTATAAATAACATATTCATTTTCTAACGGGTTTACGAGTTTGTAAATTAGTTCTTTCCGCAGTTTGACACACTCTTCACAAGATTACTGGATGTAATAGTAAATTTCGTATCTAGGGTCGAAAACGAGGTTTTGCTGGCTCGAGATAGTTTTTAAGTTCGAGACGAAGTCGAGAACTTAAATTGATCGAGAGCTGCAAAACCATTTTCGGTACGTGGTACGAACACAATTTTTCACCACACTACTACTATTCACAATAATAATAATAATGAAAACTGATAGTCAACGCAACTTTAAGGTTATGTGAAGAGATAATTTCAGGAATCATAGCAAAAAAAATAATAAACAGTTGCTAGGCTACGGTGGAAATAAAACAATTCTATTTCAATGCTATGGATACTGTTTGTGTAATTAATGCAAGCGGACAGCTGATTTTGCGGCCCCGGGATGTAAAAACCTGCTCGGTCCCCAAATTACGATGACAGCTGGCATGGCCAACAATACGTAACTTTCAGCCACCAATTAACGTATGTAATACAGCCAAAAACATCATAGTGTGGTGAAAATAAAATAATAGCATTTGATTGTTTAACAGTGCATAAAAGAGTTGTTTGCACACACTTTAGTTTGTTGCAGCACAAATAATGGCAGAGTTTCATTGTTTAATAAAAATGGTCAACTATTAAGTAAAAAAAAGAAACTAGCTCATTTACCAGGACTGAGATTGAGGTACTTTTTCTATAGTCCACATTACCACTTGCCTCACATATTCGTGTAGATAATATACATAATTTGTCGGTTATAGTCGGACTGTCGGAGATTGAAGATGTAACAACGTCTAGTTACTTCAGCATCTCAGCCACGCCCTCTTTTATCACGACACACTACACTGTTGATGTAGTAGGTGTGAACAGTTTGAATCTATATAAGCTTCTAGTTAACGTGCGATAGGTAACAAAACTTCGTTCAAATTTCCATTACTTAATTAAATTCTCACGGGTATGCTTTTTGAATTAACTAATTGCTCAAGCAGTGTTTCGTGACAAGGTACACGACGTGCACGACACATACACGGACATTTGCGGCTACCATAGAACATCTGTTTTAGTATTGCAAGTTATTATTTACCTAATCATAGTTTGTAAATTTAGTTTGACATTTACCATTTCTACCATTTCATGAAAACGCTAAATCCCCCTACCTCAAGAGAACAATTAAAATAAACGGTTTCAGGTATATGACACATGCCTTTCCCCATAAGATTGTCAACAACCTTAGCACGTGCAACCGCTGGGAGTAGCTATGATATTTTATGGGGAAAATCACAAATGTTGAAATATATTTTGAACGGCAAGTTTTTTTATATATTTTTTTATATATTTTTTTATATATTTTTTTATGACTTAAGGGGACTATAACATTCTAAATTTTAATCAACATAGTTCGAACCGTTTAAAAATGTGATTTCTCTGTTACGTTATGGGATTTATGGGGACGTCAATATTAAAAATCTAATTTTATAAAAACATAGAAGAAAAACACCTAGACATACCATAGCAATCAAACTCAAACTCGAAGATTTTGGCGAAAACAATCTTATTGCAAAAATCTAATTAAAGAAGTCTCCAAACTGGGGTCTAAATTACAAAATGCAGGCGATAGAAGGAAATGGAGATGTGTTGCTAGTTGGCGAGGCCATGGGTACGGATGAAAGATAATATGAAAAGTAAAATATGAGTGTGTGTGGAAAATAATATTCAATTTTTAGTACATTATTTCAGCGTTTTCTAGGGTGATCTAGGAAATTCGATGTGTAGGGCGTTAGAGGGTGTGTAAAATTCAAAATAAAATATGAAAATGCGTGATAGTAGTTGGTTCATAATGTTCCACATAGAGAATTAAAATTTTAAATATTTCTAGATTTAATAGCACCAAGATTTGTGTACATCTATGAAACAGAAACTGATTCAATAACCATAATTGTACATACATTGTATTTATACCCGGGCAAAGCCGGGGTTTGCTCCTAAGACTCCATAATTATATGTATATGAGGAGAAAGTAGAAGATAGACGGGAAAATATCGGGTACAGATTGAAGAAAAAATATTTCTCTAAACAGCTAAATGGTATTTGCTTCATGGGATAAAACTTGACAGAAAATGTGTTAAATATCGTGCAAAATTGAAGTTTTGAACTTTCACCATTAATTTAATAATACTCTTCTTTATAAATTCAGAGAAGCTAGAATATTGAACAATTAGGTCACAAATAATAGAGTTTCATTTTGATGGATGCATTAGTTTTATTCCAGATTGAAAGCCTAAATTGCCTCTCCGACGTCAGAAACAAAGACAAATAGACAAAATATAAATGCTGTAAAGAAATTAGTAGGATAATTTTAGACTTTTTTGTTTATAAACCATAGAAATTACAAAATGTTTATGACTGTACACAATGAACAGACACCAGTGTATTTAAAATATCGTGGTTTTAATTTGTCTATCTGTGACACATTAACAAATAATTTGCATATATTGTAACTCAGTTTGCTATACATGAATTGATAACGGAGTGTGGGGAAAACAGAGAAGGTTCTAGTCAGAGAACGTTATTGTTGCTTACTTGATAGGTTGCACTACACAGTTTAAACTCCTAGCCACCCGGTCTTTGTCCCATACCTAACAGTAATTGGTGATTGCTGAAATTTGAACCAAAGCTCCTTGGGGGATAAATCCCCTTTAACAATTGGACCAACCACGTCTTAATGATTATTATAAGATATCAAAATAATTTCAGTAAGACAACTTTATTATACCCTTATACCATTCCAAAAGCAGACGCGAGCAGATTGTAAACGAACATAAAGAAAACAAACTGTCAATATCCAAACGGAATTTCCATGTTACTCCACCGCCGTGTTGTGTGTGTGTGCGTGTGTGAGTGTGGGTGGCGTGGGGAGCTACAGTTAGGGACATTCATGTGTCAGCGTGGACGATTTAAACAATCCAACAGACCTTTAATTGCTGCATCGCTTCCAGCAACTGCTAAGCTCAACACACCGATTCTCTTTATTAAATGAAGCAGATGACGGTTGTGGAGACTGTTAACAAGTTTATGTGCAAAAGCGTTGTTAGAACTTCGCCTTCAACGGTTTATAATAATGTTATTGCTCTACACGTATTTGGACTCTGTAAATTGCTTTGAAGGCGTGTATTTAAATTGAAATGACTGTTTAGTATTTTTTACATTGTAAAGTTGTAAAATACTTGTTAAAACGTAATTCACCCCTCTGGCTAAGTAGATGTGAGTTTAGTGTTTCAATTATTGTTCCTCGTTTGGGAGAAATAGCAGCGAATCGGTTGTTTAGTTGGTAGAAAAATGCAATGAAAACCTTTGACTATGGATTGAACGAAGGACAAGTTGGTAGAACTTACGTAAGTAAAAAAAAAACGTCAATGCTGAAACCAAGTCAGCGATCTCTTCGGTTCGCGTCTCGAAGACGTCACTTAACATTGATTAGAAAAGTTCATACTTCTACTGCATCTGCTTCTTGTTTTCCTTTATACACTTCTAGCACAGGTATGAAGCCCAGTGAATAGGCAAATTCAAGGTAAAAGAAACCTTCACCGT